ATTCTCATAAGTGTCTCTCATTCACCCCATAATCTGGCTTGATGGCTGTCTTCAGCCATGTCTGACTTAACATCACCTGAGGTCTTTTGGTTTCGTAGCAGCAGCATGACCAAGATCTGCAGTACAGGTATTGCATATCCTGTCAGTTTTTCCCCAAGCCAACTTGTAGAAGAAGAAGAAAAATCTCTTTCTCTAAAGGGTAGAAGGTTCTCATGGAATCAATTAATTTCTTTGACATCTGGTGCTGGAGGAGAGCTTTGTGGATACCCTGGGCTCCCAGAAAGATGAGCAAGTGGGTGCTAGATCAAATCAAGCCTGAACTATCTCTGGAGGCAAAAATTATGAAACTGAGGCCATCCTGCTTTTGTCACATCATGAGAAGGCAGGGTTTTCTGAAAAAGACCTTAGTGCTGGGAAAGGTGGAAATGAACAAGAAAATAAGAAGACCAAATACAAGATGGGCTGACTCCCTAAACGAAGCCACAGGCTGAGCAGAGCTGTTGAAAACAGGACATTTTGTTACATTGTTATGCTACTTTTCTTCCTCTCAGCTCAGGGCCCTCTTCCTTCCCACTTTATCCACCCCAAAACCTTATGAGGTAACCCTGGCTGACAGGGAGTGGCCTTGAACAATTTTCCTGGCCCAACAAGGACTGGAAACTCAGTGTCCCAAATTCAAGCCCAGCCCTCTAAATACTAGGCTGCACTGTCTTTATATGATGGTTGATACTGACAATGAGAATAATAGCAGTAATTATTCTCAGGAGTAGCAGTTTTACTACGGCTACTATTAGTAGAAGAAGAAGCAACAACCCCATCAAATTGGTGGAGAAGAAGTGGTCGTGGTAGTTCAGTTACAATTCTGGCAAAATCAGCATTTGTACCTGAGAACAGAAACCCAGCAAAATTCTGGTTGGTAGGAGTTGGAGAATGAGGAAGCCATTGCAGGAGTCGCCCCTTCAAGATACTGGCCCCCAATCTCCTGTGGGAAATACATCATTGCTCTCTTTTGGTTATTTTCCACAAAACCAGCTTGTGGCTGTTGTAGAAAGCATCAGATAGGAAGGGTTCCACCTGGGGTGAAGGGAAAGCAGGAGGGTCCCAGGACAAGATGATGAAGATGAAGAGGAAGAAAGAGAAGAGGCTCCAAAAAGCATCATCCAAGCCCGTCCCACTGACAAGTGGCCTGAAGGTCAAGGTCACTGTTCTCCTTGTGGTTCAATGTACATGCTGACGTCTCCATGCTGAGCAACTCAGCCCTGGTGCTGGTTGGGAATGGAGAGGAGAGGTGCCCTGGCTTTGCACTGGCAGGAGTCCCAATTTCTCCTCTGCCTGTGCTGCTCTGCCCAAAATGTGTCTCCATTCCTGGAGACCCAAGGAAGCGGAGCAATTCTCCGAGACTTCACCCAGAATCCTAAGAATTGCAAACCTTTGGTTTGAAAATGATCAAGTCAATGGGAGGACGACTCTGGCAGAGATGTCACCAGCACCTAATCATGGAGCAGCACTTTGCTATGGCGATTACATAATTACTATGATTTCTCTTCTGCAAGAATAAACTGCCAACACGATTCTGGCCATTTTGTATTGTGCGGATCCTGCGTGTATCTGTGTGCAAGCAGAGGTATGGGAAAGTGTTTGGCACCACAAGGAGGTCCTGAGATGGTGGGGTGTACTGTGCACTCTTGCACACAGAGACACACCTGGCACTACTGTGCAACACCCCCCCTCCATGTGAGGGTACAGTGATCCAGGACAGAACAGAATGTGCCCTCTTGGTCCCCAGGTGTGCAGTTCAGATGTTCTCCCTGTTCACACTGATTCACATGTAGATCAGGACAGAAAGCATAGTAATGCTCTCAGGACCGCCATCACCACAGGGTGAGCTGTGTTCCTCTGCTGCAACCACTCACTGAGATGCAAGCCAGCTCCTCCCTGCTTAACACCACCCTGGGTTCCTTTTGCTGGTCAGATCCTGCAGTGTGGAGCACTTCCGAGTTTGCTTTGTGTGGTTGCTTAGAAATGGCAAGCATTTAACCTGAGAGATGGTGCTCTGGTCCCCTGAGCAAAATCTGGCTCTGCCCTATATCTTTGGAGTAGAAACTGCATGGCGATTGAAACTTAGGACACCTTATGAACGTCATTAAGTAGCAAGCGTTTCTGATGAGCCTGTCCAACCTTCGACAATGATATGTCTATTTACCTGAGGACAAGCAGCAATGAGTGAGCGGAGGGCAGCATTCCGCTGGAAGGGATCTCACATTTGGGGGAAAGGTTGTTTCCAACCCGTTCATCTTCTCTCCTGCAGAAGATCTTCCAGTTCCATCCCAGCTGGCAACACCCTCAAACGTACGTCATCATCTGCACACACAGAGGCACGCCTTACGTTCTGAAACCTCCCACGCCAGAAGTCTTTGGGAATCTTCCATCCTCTCTACCTTTATGTCCTCATTCTTCCTTTATCTTTTGGTGGGTGATCTTTCAAATGGCATGGAAGGACAGGACAGGGATGTGTTTCCTTCTTTTGCAGAATGCTGGGAATGTGTTGGGTGGACGTGATACTTCGGGCATTCATTCATAATTACTTCCAAACAGTGGTGCATGCTTAGTTGTAGGACATATATGTAGATTACATCACTGAAAGCCTTGTGAGGCACCAAACAGATACTCCAAGCCTATGTAAATGTCCTCCAAATATCTTTTTCCATAGGTGTGCTTAGAATTGTATGTTTACATTTATTGCTTTTCCATGTGTTTACCTTCAAATAGCTGGCCAGCTTTCCTGATGCCAAAAAAAGCCTTTTAATCCTTTAGGTGCCCCAAGACTCTTGAGTATTTTCTTCCAGGAAGTGTTGCTTGTCCAGAAACAGGAAAATCCCATGTCTAAAAGGTTAGAGTAGATTCTATCCCCTCACTTATCTTATGTATTGGTTGACGGTTGCGCTTGTTTTAGAAGACACTTCTGTTATACATTGTTGTCTGTTATTCAATGAAACATTGAGATGTGCTCTACAAAAAGAATGGTCAGAGACAGATGTGGGAAGGAAAGCATATACTGTAGGTTCTAACATCATCCTCTATTTCCCTATCTCCTGAAACGTTCACATATTCTTAATTTGTTTTAAAAGATCAAGAATAATAGGCAATGGAACTAAAATGTGCTTGTTTAAAACTGCCTGCTATTGCCTGTAGAGCAGAATCTACCCATGGGTTGCCTAAACAGATTTTAACTGATTAGCAACTGGTATGTTTCCTTGCTTTTTCTATTGTCTGTAGTCAAGCTCATGTAGAGTTAATTTTGTCCAGAATATGGATTTGCCCAGGTAGTGCTAAACCTTGAATCAGAGTTGTCTCTTTGGTTCCTGTGCTATTTGATCTCTATCTAAAAGAGCCATTTCCCGAAAGGAAAGGGAGTAGATTTATCTCTTGGTTTTATAATTTAATTGATGTTTGTTTACAGGAGTGACCTTGCTGGAGTTTGTCTATTTGGCATTCCTGTGCAAAAGCTTAAAACAATCATTTAATCTTATCCTGCTGTCAGAGGACAGACATTCCGCCACCACCCACCTTCTCCCTGATCAATGTAGGAGCTTTTGTTCCAAGGGGTTTCAAATCCATGTCAAAGGATTGAAGACAATGCCATGCCAGAGCTCAGCAGCAGAGCAGCTGTCTAGCATTTGGAAAGGGCCCCAGCATTTGCAGTTAAGTCTGGGAAGGGCTCTGGCATAAAAAACCAGGATGCCATCCCTGTCAGGCAGTTAGACACAAGGTCCTTACTTCCAGCAACATGGTTCAGATCATCATCTCTTGATCAAAACTTGGTCCCTGGTTTCCACCATGGCTGTCTAGACTGTGCAATTATCATTTGATAATGTATGTGATCTGGTCACCTATTTCTCCCAGAGGGAGAGGGAAGGTCTGCAGCTCAGCGACAGAGCAGTCCCTGCCATTTTGGATAAGAGGGAACCCCTCGGGAGAATGGCTGCTGGTCAGTGTTTAACATATTAAGCTGGAGAAAGAGAGCCATAACTAAGGCTAGTTGACTGGGGTTCGACCCAGGGCACCAAAGTGTATAAGATGGTAAAACAAAACAAAACAAAAACAAAAACAAAACAAAAAGCAAAAAAACCAACCGCTGCGTGTAAAACAGGGATGCTCATGGTGGGGCCACTATACATGCATGCAGAGCCATTTCTCTCAGTTCCTCCGTCCTCTCCCTTTGTACACCAATCTTACATGACCTAGGTTGAACTTATCACACAGTGAAGCCTCAGATGCCAAAATTGCTCGTTCCAGATCTGTGGGTCCTGTGGGCTCCTTCAGTTCCTCTGTCCTTCCAAAGGGTTCCTGTTGAGATGTTTGGGGCCTCCAAGCGGTGTTTCTTTAGCGCAGCTCTTGCTGTTATTGAAAGGGCTTGGGAAGAACACAAGGAAGCTGAGCGAGGAAAGCCGGAAGAGGCTTCTCAGGATCAGTTTTGCTTGGAGAAATGAACAGTGGAGAAGAACCTCCGCTGCAGCCTCACAAATCTATCTGTATGTCCTTCCTAATATATTACATTGCCTGATGGGTATATCTTTAAGTAAGGAAGCACTTGTAAAAGTCACTTCTTAAGATGACCGCAATAAAATGTTTTATGGTGGACAAGTTTTATTTGGCAGAAACGTCCACGCATGAGGCCATGGGCATCGGTCCACGAAAGCTGAGGCCAAAGAAAACATGTTAGCCTTCAGAGGGGATTCCATAGACTTGTTCTTGTTCCCACAGAGTCCCATGGCTTCTCCTCTCATGTAGAATTCCATTAAAGATACGGGCTGGAGGATTATTAGAGCAATGATGAGGATGAGGATGATAGAAATGTTTCCAGGCTTGAATTGTCCCTCATATCTGTTTAACCGGTGAGCCTCTCTCTGTGTTGAATTAGCCCTTTGGGGGAACACCCTAGTCAGCACCCTAGACAAGCAATATCTGCACCATATTAAAATAACCATCTTGCTTTCCAGGCAGTGTGGCAGAGTGGTTAAAATGCTGGACCAGCGAGAGGAAGACCTTTGGCCACAAACCTCGCTGCGTGACCATGGGCCAGTTATACATTTCCAGCCTGCTGTAGCTTCCTGGATTGTTGTAATAATACAGTGAGGATGGATGAGAACTGTGGATGGTGCCTCAGGTTCTCTGAAGAAGAAGCAGGGTAGATATACAAGAAATAAATAATGAAGCCTCACTGGGAGTAAGTTATGCTTCATGGCTGCCATGCTTATATTTATTTATTTTAAATGGTTTTGTACTTGAGATCAAGCCCCAATGGGATCTACTTCTGAGTTGGATAGAAGTGTGTTTTTTTTCTTGGAGGGTGCCCATGTGTAAAATCATGAGGACTAGAGCCTATTTTAAAAACCAAATCTAGGGCTCTTCTCGGTCTTCTGCTGAAAGCACGTCAGCAGAGCTGCCTTTAGATCGCAATGCAGTGAAAGTACGCGCCATGGCTTGGGAAGCAGAATTCAGCTTCTTGAATATCAAGGCCTCCATTTGAGCCAAGTTGCTAGTCCTTATGTTTGTAATGCAACACTTATGATGCTTGTGGGCCGCAACTGCTCCTCAGAAGCGAGAAAAGCTGCTGAACAAGCTTGCCAGTGGTTTGGGGTGGGGCTTCATCTGTGCCTCGTTATGCTCAACTAGCAAAGCCAAGGGAAAAGAATGCAAAACAGTGAGTTGTACCATTTCTTTCCACCTGGTATGAAAGATAGCAAGACCTCAGAAACTACTCTTGTGTTTATATTTCTACTACAGAGCCTTGAAAGCATATAGTTTTCACGATCACTGGAGGTGATTCTACTGTTTCTTTCCTTGGTCGTATTGAGCAATCTTTTCCTTTTCATGCCCAAAGAATGCAACATCTGTTATATGGAATCTGATGAGTCTTTTATTGCTGTTGCCAATTTATGACAAACAGCTAAATATCTGCAAGCTTTCGCCACTGTGGTTTTCTGACATTGGCCAGGCCATGTAGAGTTTGCAGTTCATTGTATCTGAAGTAGTTTGGTTACACCCAGACTGAAAGCATGCCCAATGCACGGGCATGTTGGCTGGGGAATTCTGGGAGATGTAGTCCCCTCCAAACAAACAAACAAACAAAAAACAACCATCCCTAGCTCTGGGATGAACTGTAGTGTAAGGATGCAGAAGCAATTTAGTGTAAAATGAACAGATAGTATAGCATGGTTGTTCTAGAAATCAGTGCAAAAATATTTCAACGGCTCCTAGCTGTTTTGTGCAAACTGTGGGGGAGTTTGAACATTGGCTGCTGGAAAGAGCCTTCCCTCAACAGCAGGGCAGCTGGATAATTTTAGACGATTGATGGGAGGTGTGCAATCCGCCTTTGGGGGTCTGGGGAAGATTTCCCCACAAAACTTTGTTTTCATTCTGCCTTCCTTTCTTTCTTTAATGGAGGAATTATACCTCCAGGGGGTGTTAATTCTCTTCTAGAAAAAAAAGTTTCCCCCACACCTTGTGTTCTCAAGCAAATAAATGAGGGGATGAATGAATAAATAAATGATCCAGATGTTGTTTTGTATACGGGAAGTGTGGGGATGCTTTTGTTTTTTTAATTAGATCCTGGACTTCAGGGTCTTGCAGAGAGTGAGTATGTTCACGCAGCCATATGGATTCCTTCAGTTGTGGAGCACTCAGCAAACATTTCTCTTCTCTCTGCTTCCTCTTCCCCTTCATGCTTTACGGTTTCTTCTACAGCATTCCTGAGAAGCAAAAGTCAAAAATCCAAAGAGTTTTGCCAGTGTCCAGAACTATTTTCTTAAGAAAAGAAGAAGAAATGTATCCAGTTTTGCCTTTTAGACTTGCACATGATCATCATGACTGCACACAGTGTTCCACTGAACTATATTCCCTTTCCAAGTAAATGACCAGATGTGTTTTGTACCAAGTGGTCCATCTAGGCCAAACACTGTCTGCTCTAGTTGGCACCAGCAGAGGCAGGAAAGGTCCTTCTAAATGGAGATACTGAGGACTGGCTCCGTGACCTTTTCCATCCAGAGTCTGTACTCCATCACGGCATTCAGGGTCTTATTGCCATCACCAGCTTTCTATATCCATCCTGTCTGGAGTACACGTTGAAGGAATTTCTGAAAATTTAGCTGGCGTAGCACTAATGACTAAGTTGGCCAAGCTGTCAGACAGTTTCCCTGGTGTATGCCTTTCTCCTTGTTTCCTTCAAAGATCTTTTCTTCATTCTTGACATGCGTCTCTCAAAAACACCAAGCGATGCTTCCAGGCACTAAAGGAGAACTTGTCGCTGTATATTTCTGGCCATCAGTTCTGTGTCTTGGGCTCGTGGGACTCGGCCACCGCAGGAATTGACCGCCGCTCTGGAAAAATCTCACTGCCTTCCTTCGTCGGAGTGGGAGGCTCACTCGGTGTCTGTTTTTTTAAAAAACGAATACCTTTCAGGAATCGGCTTTAATATGCAGACCTAAGATTTTCCATCAATTACATGTGGAGAAGTCCTGGACAAACCGTTCTGAAAGGGAAACTGGACACCTTGGAAAACTTACTCCAGAACGAAACCCAATACCTCAGGGTTTGACGCTGGAGCTCTTCACGCCTCTTATGCCACTTTGCCCTCCCCAAAATAGACACGTTCGCTTATGTAAACTTGGTAATATGTATTCAGTAAACATATTCAGACTGACTCATGCCCCTTGCATGGAATATAACCACATACAAAACTGGAATCATTGGTTTGCTTTGGGGAAAGAAAAAAAGAGGAGAATGTGAAGGACAGAGATTTTATATATATATATATATATATATAGACACTGTATGTTTATCTGTTTCATCATGTTACACCACAGCTGTAGTGCACTGATGTTCCAAGGGATAATTTTGTCAGGCTGTGTACAAAAGAAGAAAAGCCACAAGACTGTGGCTTGTGAGGGCTGGGTACCTGGAACAAGGTCTGGCATGCAAGCGTATCCCCCAGCCTAGTCATGCTGGAAGCAGTTCCTCGGTCTTAAGGCCAAGAAAGAAGGCACTGATTTGCTGACTAAGCCCGGCAAGCAATCCAGATGCCTGCTATTTCTAACAGGCCTGCCTAGTCCAGGGTCTTCTCGCGTATGGCCAGCCAATCACTGGGGCCCTACCAGGCACAGCAGAGCGCAGGAGGAGGCATCAGGAGAGGAGGAAGAGGTCAATTGTATCCCTCCCCCCCCCCCGGCTTCCAGGGTAGCTGCTACTGTTCACCACAAAGGGACTGACGGGTCCCCCCAAAGGCCGCCAACAACACATGCACAATCTCCCAATGGAATCTCGGACATGTCAGCCGTGCTGGTTCAGAGACACTGGGAGCTGCGTTATTTCCAGGAGGGTCACTCTTCCCTTCTGCTCCTTGAGGACAGGATCTGTTTTTAATGTCCAGGGGGAGAGTTTGCTTGGGGCAGCAAAGGCACCAAAGAATCTGGTGACACCTTGAAGGGAAAGATGTTTTCTGGGCATCGCCTGCCGGAGGAGGGCAGCGTTTGACCTCAGATGCACCAGCCCCAGTGGGCTTGTACTACCTTTTGCCTGTACGTCTTTAAGAAGCTACAAGGAAGACTCTTTGCTGTTTTCAAACATCTCCAAGATTTGGCAAACAATACTCGAAACAGGTTTGCTGCACATTTAGGTTGCTAAGATTTCCATGTCTTAATCTTCCCAGAGATTTTCTTTCCGTGAATTCCATGAGATTTGGAATTCCGTGAATTCCATGAGATTTGGAACAGGGCAGCATTTACAGCATCTCATTAGCCCAATTTTCACAGCACCATTGAGAAGTTCTTCATCACGCATCTCTTTGCCAGATGGAGCCTTTCAACAGATATTGCATGGCAAAAATGCTCCAGTTGGAGTTTGTCTCTCATCAGTTTAGGATTAATTAATCTTATTCTATCATTTGTCAATGTGGGGATGTGCAGTGACCTTTATCTGGAGAACTTCTAAGCCTCTGTTCAAAATGCAGATATCTTCCCAAAGTGAGGCACAAAACAAAATATCATTAATGGGGGGGAGTGGGGGAAAGACATCTAAATTAACATTCAATTTGCAATTTCTGAGAAAGGCTGTTGAGGACAGGACATTTTGGAAATCACTCATTCATAAGGTCACCACAGGTTGGAGGCAAGTTGACAGGAGGCAAAAACAACAGATTAACATAAACAATAAATAAAAAGAGCCCTCCTGAGCACAAAAGGCAAGAGACCTTTCATTTTAAGCTAGCATGAAATGTGAAAACATGGTTAGGGGCCTTTACAACACTAAAGGCCTTTAATTTGAAAGCCCTGAATAAGGCTGTTACAAGGACAGGATTTTTGGAAGTCATAAATCCATAGGACCATCATAAATCAGAAATGACCTGATGGTACATAACAACAAGAACACCACCACCGTGAAGCAACAAAACCACCAGCCTATTGCTTTAATTACGAGCAGACTGAGCCTGAAGAGGAAGTTAATCATGTCTCTCAGGGGGTGGGAATTCAATAAATATGGATCCACTCGGTCTTTTCTTTTTTGCCTGTGAGTATAAATATCACTTTTGCTGACACACGTGGCTTCCATGGGCGTTGCTGGTTTTTGTGCAGGGCATGAGGCAGACAAAATGTTGTTAGAGACCATCACCTTCCCAGGGTATCTATAACATTACAATCTTTTTTCAACTTTTTTATTTATTTCAGATTTGCAGTCTTTGAACTGCAGAAGAGAAAGAGGCGTTTTTGGCTTTGTTTCCAACACGTAATCCCTCACATTTACGGTCAGGATTGATGGGTGCTTTCTAATTTTAAGGGGAAACCACATTGGCAGGCAGGGTTTCCGTGTCTTCGTGCATCAGTATGCTTCGAATGGGATGCCTTTGGCTTCTTGTGTCATTTCACACACACTCTCATGGGCTGCAGCTTCACTCAGCCACTGGTGACGCCTCCACCTCTTCTTCTCTCTTACGTGTGCTTGGTGAGCAGGAGCAGCACTGGCACTGCCCACTCTCCACTGGCATTTGGGGAGAGACTCTTCCTCCACCACTGACACCATGCTGAGGGACGTAGCGTGCGGGTGCCTGCAGAAAAGGCAGCTGTTTCATGGTGAGCTGTGGTTATCTCTTCACAATCAAAGGAGAAAAGGAAGTGGGTTTCGAACTGACTAGAGAGAGGTGAAGATGTCTCTGGTAGGAATGATAACAGCAGGCTGTGAAGCCAGGCACTCATCAAATTGACTTTTGCATAATCTTTTCCGTCAAGGGACATGGAGGCAGCCCAAGCAGTGCAGCAACTGAAAGCATCACAGACAAGAACAAGCCCCTTTGTGGCAAATTAAAGACTTGTATTTGGCACCAGCTTTTGTCTGTGGACAGCAGCCACGAAATCTGAGGCCACACAACATTTGTGAAGAGCCACAAGATTCTCTGCTTTTTTACTGCAACAGACTCAAATCCCACTCCCCCAGGTATCATGGTTGTTTTGAGGTGTTTTGGAGCGGCATGTTCGTCTCCTTTTGGGGGTTAACTAACAAATGCCTTTGTTCTTTCTGCTATTACACAGAGACAAACTCTGGTCAGTGAAGGACTTTTGGCAATGCAGCTACAGCTGAACCTTGAGGCTGAATTCTGGGGGCTGGCAGCTGATGGGACCTGCCCCCCTCTATCAACCTCCCAAGGAGCAACAGGCAATACAGAAACCTCCTTTATACTGACTCAGATCCTTGATCTGCCCAGCATAGCACTGCAAAACCTAACTGCAATGATGCTCCAGGGTTGCAGGCAGGATTCCTTCCTAGCCTTTCCTGGGAGATTCTTGCTAGTTCCTGGCGACTTCCTATCTGAAGCTGACTCTGCTTAGCTTTTGAAATCAAACACAACTGGCCTGTTTGAGGTTGCATGGAAGATGAGAACTCACTGTCCCAGCATCAGCAGCCACACTGGCATAAACATGCCAGGGCCCTTTGGGGCTCATCTGCTAACTACAACATCCTTGATCTCTTATTTTTAGTTATAGGGAAGTGCTAGGGGTGGAGCAAAGTTCCTTTTCTGCAAAGAACAGTTTGAAATTAATAGCACGCCTTGGTATCTTTTGGGGTGTTTTATCTTCCCTTGCATGAGCAACAGGGTGTAGATTCAGAGCAGATTCTTGGCATGCGACTTTTGCATTCAAAATGAGAATGGCATTTCTGCCCTGTTTTAAAAACAAACTTTAGAAATAAGAGCAGGAAGTTGCCTTCTACTGTCAACCCACTGGCCCTTCTTGCCCCTTGTTCCAGCTAGGGCGTTCGTCACCCTAGGTAGAGCATCAAGAAGATAGCCCTACTTGGCCCTACTTGAGGAGGGCTATCATGACC